TTCCATGGTAAATGTTTCTACTATCGCACTTCTCGCTTGTGGAACTTTCTTCCGGCTCTATGCTTTCCAGCCAACATTGATCTTCAAAGATTTAAATGCAATCTCAATCGTTATCTACTGTCTTCTTGATTACTCTTCTTCTCTTGTTCACGCTCCTTAATAATGTTTCTCTTTTTTTATTATTCTTTCACAGTCAGTAGCCACTTGTGTCTTAGTGGCTTTACTGCCTTCTATGTGGTGTAATGATTTTAAAAATGCTAGAAATATTAAATGTATAAAATGGCTTTCTTGTTCAAAGTGGGAAAATAGTAAGACTAATATTATTTTTTTTTAAATCAATCCCTTTGAGCAACATGTTGAACATAAAAGGCATCTCTCTATGCCTTTGATTGATCCGTACAATTTACAACAGTTTCTATATAAGTAAATACTACTGTATGTGGATGTGAGAATAGGAAGTGTGTTAGCTGCGATAGATAGATAGATAGATAGATAGATAGATAGATAGATAGATAGATAGATAGATAGATAGATAGTATGTGGAACTGACTCTCACGTGGATGCTAACTCAAACACTACAATCAAGCTCTTCACGTCTAGGGTCAATTGTTATCTATCCTGTATATCAGCGTTTCTCAACCTTTTTACCCTTGTGGTAAACTTGAAATAATTTTCATATCATACGGAACCCTTTATAAAAATCATTACGAGCTTCGTTCAAAAAGCTTCATGAAGAAAGAAGAGCCATTGCTGATCATTTTTGCTGTGGCAACACATCACCACTTATTATAAAACTAGAAAAACACTTTCAAATTTCTCTCTCAATTTCTGTGCCGGTGAGGCTCATACAAAGATGAAAGGTGTGCGACAAATCTAAAAATGGACACAACAGAGGCCCAAGTTGTCATAAAATATCTGCAAAAGGAAGGTATGATACGAAATTAAATCCATGAAGACATAATACAGGCACTTTCTGAAGTCTCCCCTTCCTATGCAAGTGGGCTGCGGAATTCAAGTGGGGCAGGTACAGCAAAGAATATGATTCTCGATCAGGTCATCTAAAAACCTTAACCGCTGATGAACAAGTTGATGTCATTCACCATATGGTTTTGGATGACAGACGTCTTACTGTCTAGCAGATAGTCCATAGACATTAGCTCTGGTTTGTTTTCATATTGTTTTAAATGAGATCTTGGGGATGAGTAATCTGTCTGCAAGATGGGTCCCAAGAATGCTGGCATCAGAGCAGGAGGTGAAATGGGTTGACGTTTCCAGAACACTTCTGACTCGCTTCCAGGCTGACCCTGAGAATTTCCACGGCAGATTAATAACTCAAAATGAAACCTGGGTTCACTACTTTGAACCTGAATCAAATATCCAAAGCAAAAAGTTGAAACACTCCGGTTCCCCATCCCTGAAAAATGAACTTTGGGTAAGGTATGTTGGCAAGGTGATGGCTTCTTTTTTTTTTATTCTGAAGGCCTAATCATGTTAGATTACCTGGGAAAGGGAAAAACTATTAATGGACAGTACTACGTATTAGAATTAAACTGAAGGAAGCAATCAATTCGAAATGCAGACGGAAGTTTAGGACAGGTGTTCTCTTTCTCCAGAATAACGCATCCGTTCGCATTGCTCAGGTTGCAGTAGCTGAATCAGCCAAATGTAGCTTTGAATTGATACCCCATCATCCTTACTCACCAGATTTAGCAAGATCTGACTTCTTCCTGTTTTCGAAACTCAAATCCCACTTGCGTTGTCACCAATATGGAAACAATGATAAGATCATATGTGTTGTGCATAAGATTTTTTTTGAGGACCACTTTCTTCTGTGGTGGGATCGCAATGAAGCATCATTGAATTAAGTTCATTGATGTCAAGGGGGACTATATTGAAAAATAATGAAAAACTGTCTTGTTTCTCCAGCTCCTTCTTGGTGAGACTTAGAATTTTTCGAACGACCCTCCTATGTACTATTATTAATATCTATCGCTTTAATATTTTTATTGTAGTTCACGTAGCAAACATAATATATGGACACCGAGCATGCGTCCTGTACTCGAGTGAGTCAATCAATGATACACGAATCCGCCAAGTACAGGCCCTGCACACTAAACAGTGGCGCCATATCGACATCGCTAAATACATTCCCTGTGATTTATTATAATTTTAAATAATATAAGAGATTTATTATAATAACCAAGGATTTTCTAATGATATGTCGTAGGTGTATAGTAAAATTTCGCATATAAAATCAAACAAAAATTACTCAAAATGCATTAGTCTATTTATCAGTGTTTCTCGTAGAACCCCTAACGACTTGTTGTCTAGGGTTCCTAGGATTATGGGGAACACCGGTTGATAAACGCTGTTTTATATCCTTATAATCTTTACTTTCTACTCCCCCCTCTAACGTTCATATCATTTAATAAAACTCTACCTTAAGTGGCTCTTAGGCTTTGTATTGTCAGAACACTAGTAAAATGTATTGTTGGTAATTATACTATTAAAATGTATTGTTTGTCATTTTTTTAAAAAACACATTCATGGTAATTTTATTACAAAAATATATTATTGCTAATATTTTTATACTTTCCTCGTGTTTTGATTTTTGCTTAGGGGTTCATTATTTGCCCATAGCTGGGACCTTAACAGGTGCTACCACACCTGGGAACAACAGCAATTAAGAGCTGATTCTACATTCCTCAAAACCTCCAATCTCCTGATCATTGGCCTTGCTACCTGCCAGATGTAATTTATCATCATAACCAGGACACTATGTTAATGATAGGATATTATTAATAATAATATGGTGGATATTTTAAATGTGTACATGTGTAGTATGTGATTTACACCAGGAAATACCAGATAGTCTGAATCAAATTTAAGTTCAATAAGGAACCTTTGTTCTAAAATAAGTTGATCAGTGATGACTCACCCCAGATAATACCAAAATAGACTTTGCACTCAGTATCACACCAGAGCATCAGAGAAGTCAAGTGCATCAGCAGGTTAACCTGGAAAGTGTTTTCTAGCCACTAGATTTGCCCTTCACACAGGTTGTTGACACAGCTTAGCTCAGGATGTGCACAGATAGGGTAAGAGGATAAGAAATGTAAGTGTCCAACTGTAAAGAAAAGACAGAGAGAGTCTCTCATATTCTCAAGAGAAGAAGAATCCTCTTTGGCAGAAAACCCTCAAAGCCACACACTCATTTACCAATATTAAATGAAGTTTGAATAAAGAATAATTTTATGTATGAGAGATTTAGTCTTGTGTTTTTCATAGTCTCTATAATAATAACATTGCACATGAAGAAAAGGTCTATAAAAATGAATATAAGGTATATTTAGACAGCAAGACAAGGACCCAAACTAAGCATGACCAACCTCAAAGAACCCAATAGTGGAACAAGCAGATGTTGATTACAAGAAATCACAATGGTTGCACCAGCAGATGAAGAGGGCTAAGCGCCACTCAAAATTATAACAGTGTCAGCAACAGTTTGTTGCAGTTTTATAATTGAATTCTGCATCTCATTCCGTATGTGCCAGAGAGGAAGGTCATGAAATCAAGTATGTGGATCACTTCCTGACAAGTTGAGGTTCCTTTTGAACAAATTCATGTCATCAGCAGTTTCTTCTACTCTGATTTTCTTTCACCAACTAACTCTTGCAAAGCCAAATGGCAATAGGGAATGGATGATGGAAGCAGGTTTTGGTGAAATTGGAAGCGTCTACTCTTGAACCAGCACGCTGGCAGCAAATTCATTCATCAATGCCAGCATTATAAAGGAAGTGATCAGCAAAGAAGATATCAAATTTTTGGAGAGGAAATAAAGCCACTGCTGATGACGAGGCAGCGAGTATTCATCCAAATGTAACTGACAAGATTCGTCTGTTTAATTATGCACACTATTTTTCCAATTTTCAAATAAGATGTTCTATGTCAGGATCAAAATTGTGGATAAACTGTCCAAAGTTCATATTTGTGCTGTTGTTTTTATTCAAGTACTTTCAACTGTCTCAGTCACTATCAAGAACAATGTGCTGTCAGTGTAGTAGACAAGATTCTGTTGACTACATTTTGGTATTTTATACAGAGCTGAAAGTTTGAATAAGTTCAAAGTGACATCATGTGTAATGGTTAAAGGGAGTGAAACCTCACTAGAATAGAATGCATCTATTATTATCATTATTATTGTGTAGCCAAATGAGGTTTACATAGCTAAAGGAAGCTAATGAGTGTGAGTTCATCCTCAGATTTAAAACTTCTTTAGGGCTGAGACTCCAATTCATTCCCCTACCTTCTTATGGTGCCACCTGGGTAATGCTAATAGGAGAGGAAAACTGTGAGTACTTGGTATTGGAAATTCATGCAGTCCCAGACAGATGGAGCTCATCAGGGCTGGTAACCGGTCTAATAAAAGGTAATTCTGCAATCAAACTGACCTCTGTGTGTCAGGTCAGGGCTTCTCTGCTACTGGCAAAATGTAACCCAATACATCCCGTCACATCAGGTAGATGGGGTTTGTAGCCTTGAACAGCAGCACATCTTGGAGAAGGAAAACTGATTTCAAACCTCTACTACCTTACAGCATACCTAGTCTTGGGAAAGGCTCCAGGAGTCAACCATGAGGAAAAATCCCTAAGGCAGTCCCTTTACTACAATGTTCTAGTAACTCCTACAGCACTATTGGTGCCAAACTGTACTGGCTTCTGCTGTTACTTTGATTAATTGACAGATTCTATGGCTTATCAATCCTTTACAGGTTATTTAAAGCCAGAAAATATTTTTAGATTTTAAGAATTTTATTTTAAGATAATATTGATTTAGTGATACAAGTCTTACTAATTAACCCATAGCTGGAGGGAGAAGAGGTGGATTCATACCATTCCCAAGGGTATTTGTGCATAAGTGAATATAATGAACCTGATTGGAATTGGAACTCTGATTAACAATTCTGAGCCATTATCCTTTACAATAACCACCCATCCGAGCTTACAGCATCTGGTATTCCCAAGAGTTCACCCATTTATATACTGAGCAAGCTTGACGTTGCTTAACTTCAGTGATTGTATAGGAACCAGTGTTTAACTGTGATATGGCTATAAGCCCCTTTGGACCCACCAACTATGTAGAGATTGGGACCTGCTATATGGACAACAGCTAGTCTTACATATCACCTTGCACTGGCTTGCACCCTGACACAGGACACATCATCCATTGTGGACATTGATTGATATAGGCCTACTACTACTACTACTACTACTACTACTATTATTATTATTTCATATATTAAATATTTTATACACACTTCAAGATAATGTCTCCTGTATTGAAAGATATTTTACTTTATGTGAGTTGTTCATTTTGTATATTTATATTGCAGACAGTTCTGGGGTTATTCAGACCACTTGATGTACAGAGGCCACTAGTTAAAACTACCAAGTAGTACTGTTATGCAAATTTAACAAAATACTGCAAGTCATGATGACGCGTTTAGGATTGATTGATTTGTTTTCATGGCTTATAAACCTCTGGCTGGTTATTTGAAACCAAAAAATGTTTTCAGATTGTGGAATTTTTTGAGATAATAATGATTTATTGATTCAAGTCCGACTAATTAACTCTTAGCTGAGAGGAGAAGATGTGGATTCATACCTTTCTTAAGGATATTTGCACATAAGTGAATATAATGAACTTGACTGGAACTCGATTTTCCAATTTCCAATTCAGAACTGTTAGCCATTATAGCAACTGGACATCAAAACTTACAGCATCTGGTATTCCGAAGCACTCACCCATCTAGGTACTGACCAGACTTGATGTTGCTTAACTTGGGTGATCGTTTGTTGTTTGTCAGTGTGGTAGGCAAGATTCTATTGACTATATCCTGGTAAGTCCAAAATGACATCATGTGTAACGGTTAAAGGGAGAGAAATCATATTAGAAAAGAATGCATCTAATATTGTTATTATTGGGTAGACAAATGAAGTCCACATAACTAAAGGAAATTAATTATTGTCATTTGATCAGTAGTTAAAATCATCACATAGTTTTTCTTCTTTTATGTGTCATAACCTTTTTAGAATATAGACAAAGGGAGAGTATCACTGAGACTTGATGCCACTTGAACTCCAGTTAAAACTCATATAAATCTGAGACTAAAATTTCATAATTACAAGAAAATGAATGAATGTAACTACTTATGAGATCTGCTATCATTTGATCTCCTGTTAAAATTATCAAATGCTACAGAGATGAAAAATTAATAATTACATCTGTTCTCCATTTAAAATTCTTAATTTGTATGAAATCAAGCGTTACTTGTAGAGGTCAGTGAGTTGGAGAATTGAGATTTTTCTGTTCCATGATCTGCAGAGACGAAAACTTAATGACTGCAAATATTAGTAAATCATAGACATGGTCTGCAGAATGTGAATTTTTGTTTTTCTTTCACCTTTTTCTACACATACCAATAGATACACAATGCATTCTTTATTACTTTAAATATTATATAGTGGATATTTGTATTTAAACATTTGAAGTAATAAAAATGTCAGATTAAGAATCGTATTATAATTGTGCTTGTCCCTTCTTTCATTAGTTCACATGACTGTTATTCTCTGCCAGTACCTCATAAATAATGGACCATTTCATTTTGATTGTGTGAAAAGAGACTAAAAGACACTAATTGTTTTCAGTGCAAAAATGAAAGAAAGAAAGAAAGAAAGAAAAAAAGAAAGTGATGTAATGTGATAACCTGTCACCCTCATGAGTGACTACACTATAGGTAGTAACTACCTATAAATATCCGTAAGACAACAGACTACAGGAGACTCACTGGGATCTGTTGAGTACGATTCAGACTTAATTGAGGACTACCCACCTTTCAATAGTAGCACTCACTACTAGATTGACTTGCAACGATCGTGTGCATAACTGTTACCTTATTTCTTATTGTACTAGTTATTACAATAAACCTTTACTTATTTTATCCACCATGTTTGTCAAGTATATATTCCTATTAGCACAGAACATAATAGAAAGAAAGAAAGAAAGAAAGAAAGAAGGAAGGAAAGATAAATGTGTTCAATGTTTCCTGTTAATACCTCATAAATAATGGTCTATTCCATTTTGATCACGTGGAAAGAGAAAAAGACACTACATGGTTTCAGTGAGAAAATGAAAGAAAGAAAAAAAGAAAGGAAGATAGAAAGAAGTGTTTAATGGCTGTTTCAGTGAAATGGAAAAAGTTATTAATTTTAAACCTTTTCATTTCTACCCACTTTTTAAAATAATGACCAGTATTCATATTTATGATTGTTATTGTTAAAGTTGTTAAGTTCAAATATTTAACGATATTCTAGGGGAATTTCTACAGATAGTTTATCATTGTAAAACTCAACATGATCTTACTCAATCATTAACTTAGGAATTAAGTTTCAGCAGAATATTAAAACAGGTTAAAATTAGTAAATCTATTAAATCTCTAAATGTTGCATCATTTATATGAAAAAATAACTAATTCCAGAAACTTTCATTGGGAAAAATATTTAAAAGATTTAGGATAGAAAAAATTTTTAAAAAAGAGATTTCTTAATAATGACATTTAACTCTTTTTTTTCTATCAGAATATGAGGCTATATAATGCAAACTAAGTGGAATTGTTCATTTTTTGGTATGTAAAATCAATTTCAGGTGTGACGATCATCATCATCACACACATACATACATACTTATGCAAATTCAAATTATACAACCACAAGCATTCACTGGATAATAAATCAACACTACTGTGTAATATGACAATTTTATAGTCGCTATATTTTCATATAGTCAATTTTGTGCACTTTTGGGAGAATCAGATCCCAGAAATTTTCATGAGTCTCCCCAAAGCTCGCTCACTGATTGGTCAATGCCAACCAATCAGATTGTCTGCATGTGAAGAGTGATTCTTCCCACGCAACGCTTTTGGAGCCAATGATCACTTATATAAGCAAAGAATATTCTTAGTTAATTAGTGAGATTTCAGCTGTCACAGGAATCCATGACAGTTGAAACCATGCACCAATCTTCTCTCTCACACCACAACTCACATGCTGAATATTCCCTATACTCACATAATATTTTTTCTTACACAGCAAAACTGTTGAAAACATTTATTACCAGAAACCATTACAACCTTATTTCTTTCAGTGCACTTTGGAACAATTGATAGTTAAAGAGAGACAACTCTTGTTTTACTCAATGCATGCTTTTCTTTCCATCCTTGTTTGTACATCTTGTTAAATACAAATTTTATGTGTAATAATGTCTGGCTTATCCTCTTTTTCTTCATGTCAGTTTGGTTTCCTAATCTAAGTTAAATAAATGTGGTGAAGTCCATCACATTTCATTGTGACCCCAACATGACATTAAAGAATTTTGTAATAATTTCTTTAATCTCATCATCACACATACATACATACTTACACAAATTCAAATTATACAACAACATTCATTGGATAATAAATCAAGACTACTTTTTAATAGACAATTTACAAATCACAGCAATGTGACAATTTTGTAATCGCTATATTTTCATGCAGTCAATTTTGTGCACTTTTGAGAGAATCGGATCCCAAGAGCTTTCTCAGATTAGTAAATATTTTCAGGAAATATCAGCTTCTAATTGGTCAATAAACACTCACGCACAATATATTTTTCCAGCACGTGACTAAGTTAAGTTTCCTGCCAAGTTCTTTTGATCCTTTCACGTGATTACATTATCTATAAATAGCAAACACGAGTTTGCCATTTTCTCTTTTTTCTCTCTTCTTGCTGCAAAATGTAGTCCCAGAGAATTATCGCCTTGACCATGCAGTCAGATGTTAAATAATATTTCACGCATTCACGTATGTACGAACTCTTACGAATTGTTCCAATTTACATTACAAACATACAGAACATTTGCAAACATGCAACAAGAACTTTATTCTTCTAAAACTACAGTTTAATAATTAATCCAACTTTGTGAGCTCCGGTAAAAATATTTCCAGTCTAAGAGACATAACTCCATCAGATCTTTAACTTCTATGCATGTACATCAACACATGAATAAATACAATGTTATGTTTGTTTTAAAACCTTTTGTTCCTTCTTCTTGTATTTCATGCTTTGTGGTATTTTACGTTTAATATAAATTGTGTGGGCATGTTATTCACACAGCCGTAAACAAACATCCAAAATGGTCATTCCTCTTATCATGCCTCTACACAGGCACAATCTGGAAAGATAACAGCACAAATGAAATATAAAAGGTGAATGACTTAATTTATTCAGATATTTTCTACACTTGAAAATAGGTATCACTGAGAAAAAAATCATGTCTTGTTGAGAAATATTAATTAAAAATTTAAAAGTGATTTTTAATAATTTTCTTACATTTCATAGTAAATGCAACAGTTCAATGAATTAATCTGAATTTTAATAATTACAAACTTAAAACTTACCTTTAATCAGCAAAAAATAACAATGGCCATTATCTGGTTGAGAGAAAACTTCTTATTGTAAACAAATAAAAATAAAAATTTATTGAAAATAAAAATATGACATTAAGACAATTTTATAGAAATTAGTTATTTTAATCTTTACTTGATCTAATTACACTAAAATGATTCCCAAATTTTATTAAAAAAAAAAAACACATTAAAAATGTATTTTTATAATATAAGTGGTTCACAGTATGAGTCAAAGGTCATTTTAGGTGGTAAGGTGATATTTGAATTTCTGACTGACAACAACCGTTCTTAATTCATGTTGACAGCTTAGGACTAAATGGCTTTTGTTTATAAGTATGGTAGTTTGTCATAAACAATATTTAATTTTATGCAGATTAATTATTTTATGTAATTTTTTTGTTGTTGATTATCAAGATTATTTTTTTTATAGAACAAACATTATATCGTTAATTAGTTCTTTTATATATTCATAAATTCAGGAACACAATCTATTGCATGAAATGTTGACCATAAAAATGTCAGAGAAAATCAAATACATTTACTATTTTTTGGTCTCATAATAAATATTTTTGGTGAAAATGATTATGATAATAGATATTTTTAGT